CCTGTCACCTAAGGCATTGCGCCACAGGGTCACATCTGTTTGCCCTGCCTCCAGATGACCATTGCAACCAAATGTCTCTTTGAAACCTTAAAATTAAAGTTGCTTCGACTGGTGTATGCAGCTGGATGAAAATGTAACCAATGGATTGGCCTAAGCATTCATCCTTGTGCAAAGGTCCCAACCAGGATTTGAACCCGGGACTCCCACACCGTAAACCTGTCACCTAAGGCATTGCGCCACAGGGCCACATCTGTTTGCTCTGCCTCCAGATGACCATTACAACCAAATGTCTCTTTGAAACCTTAAAATTAAAGTTGCTTCGACTGGTGTTTGCAGATGGATGAAAATGTAACCAATGGATTGGCCTAAGCATTCATCCTTGTGCAAAGGTCCCATCCAGGATTCGAACCCGGGACTCCTGGACCGTAAACCAGCGCATTAGATGATGCGCCACAGGGTCTAGGCTCCAGATGACTGTTACAACCCAATGTCTTTATATACTGCCAGGTGATCTTCTGCCTAACAAAGTCAATACACTCCCTAGAACCCCTGGTAAAGGAGCCCTTCCTGGTAGCCAAATGGTTAAGGCGCCTGCCTACGGTGCACATGGTCGTGAGTTCGATTCCCGCCCTCGCCCGGTGTAGCTCGTTGGCCTGAGGCAGTTGGTCAGATGGTGTGGTGACTAGAAGAAGTTGCTGCCTGGAAACAGAGAACATGAAAAACCTGCGGAAGTTGCGGCCTGGGGACAGAGAATACAAAGAACCTGTGGAAGTTACTGCCTGGGGACAGAAAACACAAAGAACCCTTAGAAGTTGCTGCCTGGGGACAGAGAACAAGAAGAGCCTGTGGAAGTAGCTGCCTAGAGGAAGAGAACTGTGTCAATCAAAGGAAGTTGGTGCATGAGGGAAGGGAGAGCTGCCACAAAGGGGGAGCCAGAGGTGGCCTGCCTGTGATAGGAGGGGGGGTCTTGCTGAAAAAAATTGTGCTTGGCAGCAGTTCTTGCAGAATAGAACTGTATTTGGCTGCCTTTTGTTTTACAGGGGTTGCCCTCTTTTAACCTACCCAGGAATCTGCTTTTGGTGGGTTCTCCATCTGGCCTCCTCCCCTTCTAAGATAGCCAGGTATCTGCTTCTGGACTGGTTTTCCCCATCTAGCACCTTGCCCATACCTTACCC